GCACTCGTTTTTGTTCTGTGGAATCTTTTTTAAATGCAATTATAAATTATAATTATTTAGACATGATGATAAGATGGGTCAACATAGAAATATTCTTCCCCAATTAAAACAGATTTCACGCGTTTTTAATGTGTGGATTTTTTTTCAAATGCAATTATAAAATTATAAATTATAATGCGATAAATATCTGATCTGGTTTGTTACTACAGATAATGATCTACTTTCCAAATTAAAACGCATTTTACGCGTTTTTGTTGTGTGGAATCTTTTTTAAATTCAATTATAAATTTAAATTGTTTAGACATGATTGAAGTGTTTTGTTGTGTGAAATTCTTTTTTACGCCTAAATCAAATTATTATGCGATATATAATATAATGCGATATAAATCTTATCTGATTTGTTACTACAGATAAATTATCTGATTTGATTTACTTGACATTATCTCTACATATAATTCAATAATGCAATTATAAATTGTAAAACTCCCAATAATGAATCAACGTGTTGCTTTCTTTCAACATTCTGCGAAAAACAAAAAAACAGATTAGTGTGTCATCGATAACAATGAATCAAGGATTTGGCTTAATCAAACAAGTTAATAGGTCTAATAGACCCATGCTTAATGTTCGTATTGTACGAATGTTCTTCCAAGACTGGGGCAGTATATACAAATCCTATCTTGAGTTGGTTCTACATGATAAAACTGTAAGCCCAATTAATTTTACTTATTTGTTTTTTCAAAATATCAAACATATATTTTCGTATATATATAATATAGATTGTTATGTTTTTAAAACAAATTATTTTTTCATTGATATTGTTTTCGTATATGTTTAGGGAAATCGTATTACAGCATGGATACGGACAATCAACTTGACTGCGTTTGGGGAGAGGAATTTTGAAGAGGGCATGGTCATTTGTATAAAAAAAATTTCAAGTGGACAGCAATATAGGGAAGTATCGTTCGACATCTGGTGATTTTAAGATCATGTTGCATGGGAGCACTATTTTTCGAAGTGCAAGGAAGAATTTCCTGTTTTTCGATTTCAATTCAAAGATTTTGTAACTTTGCAAGATGTCAATAAAATTGATGAGTCGAGGTTATTCGGTAAGATTATTTTATGATGTTTCTAATTCAATTTGTTTATTTAAAAGTAATTAAATTATAACATAATTGTTTTTTTTTTTTTTATTGTAGAGAAACAAATAAAAACTGGCGATACCTAAATGGCTGCCTTCATTTTGATGGGATCTAAAGTAGTTATATATATATAAATATATATATATATATATATATATATATTTGGCTAGCATGAACGTTTTTTAAATTTTTTTGATGCAATAAAAATTTCGAGATTGCACGATTTGGGGTGAAATGTCGATCAACTTTTTGCTTTCGAGAGCTATTATGAAAAAACTGGACAACCATGGGTACTAATCATGCAACTTGTACGTTCTAGAGAATATCTACGTAAGTATTATTTCAATTATTTTAAAGTTTGACATTATTTTCGAATTATATCAATTATTTAATAAATAATTTAGCCCAATCATATTTTTATCATTTTTATCATTCTAATGTGATGTTTAGGTATTATGTTAATCGAATTAGTTTAATTATTTAATTTAAATCTTCAACCCATATAATTTAAATGTTCGTCGAATTAGTTTAATAATTTAATTTAAATGTTCATGGGATTTTACTTTCGAATTATCTCAATTATTTAATTTAAATTTTCAATCCATGAAGTATTTTTTTAAACTAATTCTAATCATGTTGTTATTCAATTATTTAATTTAAATGTTCAACCTATGAAATATTTTTATTAAACTCATTCTAATCATGCTGTTTACTTATTCTTTTATTCAAATTAGTTAAATTATTTAATTTAAATTTTCAATCCATGAAGTATTTTTTTTAAACTCATTTTAATCATGTTGTTTAGTTATTCAATTATTTAATTTAAATGTTCAACCCATGAAGTATTTTTATTAAACTCATTCTAATCATGTTGTTTACTTATTCTTTTATTCGAATTAGTTAAATTATTTAATTTATATTTTCAATCCATGAAGTATTTTTTTTTTTTAAACTCATTTCATTCTGATCTTAGGGTTCCATTTAAGTTCCAGCAGCGGCAGTTCCCACTTATGGTTTCGTATGCCATGACCATAAACAAGAGGTCCCATGTTGGTCTTTTTCTAAAGAAACATGTCTTTAGTCATGACCAATTAACAAAGCAAAATGCCTTTCGATTGCGAGCATTCAACTTTAAGTTTTTCTTAGATTTCCGCACTAATAGGACAGCTAGCCTTGCACCTCATTAGACCGTACATCTTTCTTGGTATATCCAGATAATAGGTAGGAGTTGGTTTCATCAAGGCAGTGACAACATACATGTACCAACACCTGCAGATGAAGCGCAAACCCGATCCGATCCATATAAAGGCTATGTTTCGCGTGTAACTAATAGAAGGAGGTTGAAGATATTAATTTGTGAGAATGAGGAGTTACCCAATAATCAAACTCATAATGTCGTGTACAATGAGGTCTTTAATAATATATGATTGTTTCTTTGTCAAATACTATTTTATTGTACAATTTTTCTGCGTATTGTAAAACATTTGTTGAATATTGCATCTTATAATATAATATTTCCCAAATAAATATATCACGTGCCTCGCACAGGTCACGTACTATATATATCCTGTACATTTTTCTTTATTCATTTATATAATTATAATGTTGGATAAATGGCCTTAAAATTGTGCACCCCGTGCATCGCGCACGGGCTCTGTACTAGTATATATATAAAGAGACAACCTATTTACCAAAAAATAGTAACAAGAAAAGTCAACCAACATTTATTGTATTATATTTTTTCCAGTTTTTTTTAAGTATTCATAAAAAATCAAACAGCTATTTATGCACTATAAATTCATGAATTTTGTGGATTTAATTTAGGTAAATTTTGACTGATGCTTACAGTTTTGCAAAAGTCAAAATTCTTTTTCATTTTTTATTAAAGAAAAAAAATTGATTACCATACAATTGAGAATTTCGAATTAGGAAAAATACTATCACATATGTCTTTTATTAATTGCAACAGATTAATTGTTTATTAAAAAACCGGAGTGCATGGAAATCGGGTTAAATTATGTAAAATTCGGCATGACAATTTTGTAAAAGTGAAAATTGAAATTCGGCATGACAATTTTGTAAAAGTGAATATTCTCTCATTTTTTATTAAGAATATATGTTTACCATAAAATCGGGAATTTTGAATTAGGCAAAATATTATAACATGTAAGTTACCTAATTGCAACAGATCATGTTTATTACAAAAATCGGATTGCATAGAAATCAGGTTCAATTTCAAATTGAAAATTAAAATTTAAAAATCACTTATCATTTGGCTATTACTTTCTTTAGTTCGATTTTTTTAAAACATAAAATAAAGCCAGAATATTAATTTACAATTCAAAATGAAATCAGATTGAACATCCAAAAATTTGGGTTTTGTTTAATCCTCTAGAATACAAATTTGAAATTTATTGAATACACTTACAAAATAAATAATGATTGCATACACTTACAAAAAAATCATATACATCCTGCTAAATAATTAATTGATTTATATAAGCCTAACTCGAATCCTAATATAATTTGGGGTGATGGACGATGCACCAAATGACCAAACAAATAATGTTGTGCACAAGAATATGTTTAATAATATAAAATTTACATGTTTATTCTAATATATGTATTTTTTTTCAATCATACAAATTTAAATACATACCTTAATAAAACTAACTCCTGCATGTAAAAAAAAAAAATTAGTATCAATTTAATGGTTAGGTCATTAATGAAGTCGAGTGCTATTTGAGGACTCCCCATAATTAGTTGCGTGCAATCAATGTATAATGCCGTATCTATTATTATTATGATTATGATAACTTGCATCTGTTTTGTAGCGATTAGCTCAAGGCTTTAGATTTTCTATCTAAAGGCGCCTCCGTTTTCTCTCTCTCTCTCTCTCTCTCTCTCTCTCTGTCTCTCTCTCCCTACGAACTGATTGATCGTTTCGAATGTAATCCCATCGGATGGTCATACTTTTTGCAGGTATTCGTTTTGGGGTTTTCTTGACTATTTTTTTGTGAAAATTTGTGCCAACCTAAAAGAAAAATTGTTCATCAAGATCGTGCCTTTTTCCTTTCTCTCTTAATTTCTTCGAGTTTTTCGACCGGGTTTGATTCAATTGATTATCCCCAGTTGTGATTCAGAGAAATTTTGTGTTATGGCTGAAATACTAGTGTTGGGTTTGGCTTGAAACGTGAAAAATCGTCCGAAATTTTGGAAATTGATCGTATTCGAACCCTTATTTGATGTTGGGTTTGGCTTGAAACGTGAAAAATCGTCCGAAATTTTGGAAATTGATCGTATTCGAACCCTTATTTGATGAGTTTGTTTGATCTGTTTGGGTTCAGTGATTGATTATGGTTGTTTACAGATTCTTTTAATCTCGTTTGTGTTTTGAGTATTTTGACCTAGCGGATCGCCTCTCTGGTGTATTGAATTTGACAATATTTATCTCATTCGACATTTTCGAGACTCTATGGTTATTCTTCCTTTGTTTCTCACCAACGTTGTGTTTAGCAAAACTTCTGTGCTAGCAGCAAGTATGTTGAAGGCTTATTTATTTATTTTGTTTTGTGAATTTAAGTGATTTGTCTCGATTATCGAACATCTAGCTTGAAGGTTGAAAATGTAACCCTAAAGTGCCCAGTGTCTCCAATTGTGAAAGTAAATGTCCACAAGTTGTGAACTCTTTTTTGTGTCATGTAACGAACCAAATATATTTTTTTGAGTTTGTTAGTTTGTATGATTTTATCTTAGAATACGACAGAATTGTCACAATGCATGTTTTCTGCTTTTAGCAGGTGAGTTTTAACCTGTTATGTCCAACCGTTTAATTTGTAGATTTAGAGTCTGTTACAAATGGAGGTAGCTGGGCAGACGTGCATCATGAAGGATAAGGTTCGTGTGAACAGGAAAGCCCTTGAGGCTGTGCTCGAGCAATGCCAGCTCGCCCTCCAACAGCTTGCTGCCGGTTATGATGTGGATGATGATGATGATGATGATAATGATGATGATGATGACGACAATCATGAAGTTGTTGCTCCCCAGGACACCATCAAAACCTCTGCCCCTTTGAATAGCCACGCTGATCCAGTTGAGGTGTTTTTTTTCCTCACTTTCTGTAATTTTATGATATATATGATTCTCTTCAGGTTACTGTTGGATTCAATGGGCGGGCAATAATGCTGCTAATATCATGGACCGGTTCACTTTGTTTTTTGTACTGATAGAAGAAAGCATTTGCCCTTTCAATCTCCAACATTTTTGTTGTCTTTTAATTCTAATATTCCCTTTCCATTGTGGGAAAATTTAAATAGATCTCTGAACTTTATTAGTCTTACATATTTTGTTCACTGCAGGTTTGTGGTATCTTTAAGTTGTGGTCCGAACATGCTGATTCCACCACGAAGTTGGAAAATGCACAGGTGCCGCCTCCAGAAAACGTGGCAGGTACAGTTTTACCAATCTCGATATTTTCACCTCCTACATAAAGACGAGTTTATGGGTTTCTCAAAAGTTTTACTGACAGTTGATGCACTCAAATATACCTTGTTAATGAGAGAAACTAATATGACCGATTTTGTAATATTAAGGAAATAATGAATAAACTTATCGTCTTTGGTGTGACTAAAGCAATCAACAATTGTGTTGCCTATGATGCAGAAGGGGAAAGTGATTCCTGGGACATAGTAGATGAAAATGACACCTGGGGACACTCTAATGTGGATTTAGATGCACATGACTACATTTTGGTTCGACAAGAAGATGTAAAGGAGGGTATAGCATCCTTCATGGCTGCATATCTGTTGTCTCTTGAACAAGCTAAGGTGTGGAATGTTTATTGATCTTGCAACTGACTCTTTGAACCGAGTTATCTAAGATTATTTCTTGAAAAGGTTCGGATATGTACCAGGACCTGCTTTTGAGATATATGTTTGCTTTTGCAGGATCTTACCCCAAACCAGCTTCAAGAAGGTTCATTGTTCAACCTTTTATTTTATTCCAGTCGTCTTTTCTTTTTTTTCCCTGTTCAATTCTAGCTGTTCCAACTTGTTCATTCTTTCCGACCTTCAAAAATTTGGGTGTGTTTTTCTTTTTTACCAGCACTAAGCAAGACATTCTCCACGAAAAAGAAAAAGGGCAAGCTTCGAAAGGCATGGGATGGAACCAAAGTAGTTTACAACGTGGCATCCTGGGGCGCTACTGCCATTGGGTGAGCAAATCTTAAATGAAAATTTGTACATCTTGTGTGAGCCACATTCTACTTTCACATCGAACCAGCCTGGTATTAAAAAGAATATCACGGTTTGTTATACTGTTTTATTTTGCAGCCTATATCAAAACCCTGTGCTTTCAAGTGCTGCCTCGGTGGCATTCTGGACTTCATCCCGAGCTTTCTCAAAGCTGTGGTGAGTTGCATCAATGGCTCAGGAAGTGACTCTGGTGGTTGGATTTGCATTTGGACTAATTTCGAATTATTTGTTTTGAGTTCTCAAATCTTGCTAATAGATTTTCAATGTCCCAGAAGTTGCAATCATGCCAAATGTAGAACAATTTATGTCAAGTGTAATGTCCTTGTATATATCCGTAATGAAAAAATGAAAAAAAAAAAAAAAGAAAATCCATTAATCCATATTGTAATGTTCTCCATTATGTTCTTTGATATTTGCTTTAAACACCACAAAATTGAAGACATACACCCGAGTGTATCTTAACTTGCCGTATAATAAAGAAATACTGTGTAACCCTCCTCTACATGGTGGAAATTTAATGATCTGTACACATGCTTAGTGAATTTATCCTGTTAAAAGGTAAAAAAGAAAAAATGTACCACACAACTTGTTCAAGGTAACTTTTACAGTTGTCATACAGCCTTGGGCTGAATCTGCTCGAAGTCGAAAACCTCAAACATAAGCCGCCTCACATCTCGCTTCCCATAAACGGCATATGCAAGCCCATGAATGGCCTGTTGAACTGCAGTTGTGGTTGGATTTCTAAGTCTCCTGTTATGGTCATATTCATCTTGCACCTCATTACTATATATGATGAACCTGTGGAGATATTTCTCCCTTAAATACTTTCCACAGAATTTGTTCATCAGAAGACGATTGTGTTTCTCCTGTAGCCATCTCCCGGGGGCATCTAGATGCTTCATGAGCAGCCTCTCGGCCATTACAAGGTCCTGTGGGGGAAAAAAAAAATGAAAATTTTGATTGAGTTGAAAAATTTTGACATTTATGAATGAGATTGTCAAAAGCATATATTTATTACCTGTATCTTTTGACCAACGTATTCGAAACGATCGAAGCAAAACCGGGGATGTTCAAACTTGTGCATCGATGGGTGTAAGAAACAGAGCTGTAATCCATTTCAAAGATTAAACAATGAAAATGATGTGAGAGTGAAATGTTGGGGCAAAAGTGCAAAATATAACGCATCCCGAACAATTAGAGAACATTAAACTGAAAGTTATCATAAGGAATTTAGGTAATGCTAGTGCAAGATTAAGAATATACCTGCAATCCAAGTCCTAGCTCAATATTCCTAGCTTCTGTTATATCAGGAATCCTGTCTACCATAGGCAAGGGGTACCCGAGCGTTTTCATGACTTGAGGCCGACTGTCATAATCCCAAATGTTTCCACGAAATCGATGCATGCCAGGTGGCACACATGCTCTGAAAAGCCTTGGATGAGCGAATAAGGCGTCCTCTGGGGGCTGTCAAATGTCAGTTCAAATATGAATTTAATACTGACCTTCTCGAGTGCGATTAATTTGCATACTAACAAATGCTTCATTGATGTACTAAATAATATATGATCAAAAAAATCTGAGTAATAAATCTCATATTCAGCCATAGCAGACACTCCTAACTAACCATAATAAGACACGTAAGCTGGTACCTGTTATAGAGACAGAGCACTTCCCAAATTTAATTCGAAATAAATATATATATATATATATATATATATATATATATATATATATTATGCAGCATGAGGAGAGCAATTTAGAATCTTGATATAGAGTTCACACATGTTTGCTATACTTATGAATACAGATGTATTCTTTACCTAAATAAATTTACCATTTCAAATCTAACAGAAATAGTTAGTTTCACCTTGGAGGAGACTTTGCTCAACATTGTTAAAGGATGGCTTAATTTCAAAGGACAATAAAAATAGGTATGCTTCTTGAAGGAATTTCACAATAATCTCTAAATAAGCTTCTACTCGAGAAAATAATAAAGAATTAAGAATAGGATTTAGTGATTGCCTTGTAAGAAGCAATATCCTGCCAGTTCAGTTTCTGGTTATCGAACTCAACAGAGACATAGTCAACATCCTCAAGCTGTCTCCTCAGTTTAGGCTGGGCATCTTCAGCTTCTGGATCCATTCCAAAAACTTCAAAAAGAACACGATACACTTCCGGCATCCCAAAGCACAAATATATCGCCCCAAACAAGGCCCAGAAGACAGATCTGCCATATAATATTTGTACTTATAAATGTTTATACTTGAGTAATATAACAAAGACACCCCATCAGATAAAACTATAAATATATTGATCCAAGATGCCATGCTTGTCATGGCTCACTATGCTCTAAGGTTCAGAAGAAAACGTTGAAACTATATGAAGTGAACTCAATGAATAAAAAATCTCACAAAAACATGAATTGGGAGATCATAGAGTAGATTACAACATGAACATATTCACAATATTATGGCCATAAAGAGGACCATGCTACTTATTTTTTGGTAGCAAAGCCAGATAGACCTACAGAGATATAAAGGTTGCTTTGTTCTTTCATATGCCTGTCATGAATGTACTTTTCTGGATGGATAAAGCCAATAGTGAATTCATCCCACTCTCCTAAACTCGCTTAAACGGCACTATCGAGATGAAAAATGCTTATATACCAGACGTAAGTACATAAAAGGAACCACATCTACTTAGTACTTATAAATCATACCTGAGATTATATAACCAAGAATATATACTACACCGCTGTATGCTATGTTTCATACACGATTTCACCGAATGAACTGGTCTACAATTAGATTTTCATGCATAAAAATCATACTGGTGTGTATTTCGGAGTTCAGCAGCTTTTCCACATACATTCAGCCATGCAAACACGGAAGCAATATTTCAACCATTAATATTGACATTCCACTAAATTAATCAACGAACTTTTTCCCTGAAAACTAAACCACAAACCCGCAAAGCAACCATCAAAGTATACATGTGTAGCGTGCTTAGTTAACAAGTCGGCAGGGTTTTCCAAAAGTTTAAATTATTCTATGTTTTTAGATCTACAAAACCTAAAATTCAAAGACCACAATGCTCCATTCTACACCCTAACCTTAGATAACAGTTTGTCACACCTCATTCACTCAACATGCTTTTCACACCAAAATTCTCAAGAAACCAAGAAAAACAAACAACCACAATTACATAAACCATATCAAAATACAAATAACTAAACGCCAAAATAAAGCACCAATAGAACTTACTTCACCGGAGGCTCCCTATCCGTCCTGATCAATCTATCCATGTCATCATACTGAAAGATCAGATTCTGCAACCCAGCAGCCTTAATCCACTTCGGAAGGAACCTCTTCCCAATAAAAGCATAAACCCTCTCCCTCATTGGCCCTGGAGACTCCCTCGGGTACCTTTGCAGAAAAAACTCGCACAGCGCCATCTCCAGCACGTACTGCCCCAAAAAGGACAGTCTCGAGTGTCCCGACCTCACATGCCTAGCGTTCGTCCTCTCGCAATGGGGATGCTGAAAGGCTAAATACAGCAGGGTATCAAACTGCTTGGACGGATTATCGTCCCCATAGCTATCAGAAGATTCGAGGGGATAACCTAAGGCCTGCTTGGCTTCGAGCAGGTACTCGTCAATCCAAGTCCGGTCGGCATTGTTCAGGCGGGATGATGGCAGGCAGGAACTCAGCAAGGGGAAGGATTTCAGGGACAATTGAGGGCTGTTCAGGAATCTCTTGGCGAGTTTCGCGTCGTCCAGCGGGGGTTTGAGGATGAATCTCTTTGGGGGCGCTTTTCGCTTCGGGGAGACTACCTTTCTGCGCTCGGCCAGCTCTTTCAGGAGCTTCCGGGGGCTGTTCTCCGGGAGTTCTTTCTGGTCGGCGGCAACTGCAAACACGCGGAGGTTTGGAGGGATTTCGGGGGTTTTATTGAGGTGGGTTTTGACTAGGAAGGGGGAGAAGGTGGAGGAGAAGGACATGTCCGGTTTGAAGCGCGGCGCGAACGGTGTGTATAGCTCCATTTAGAATCACGAACTGTGATAAAATGGAATGTGAAAAGAGGAAAAAAGTTTGGATTTTCTACTTTTGCTTATTAACGGGTGTGGTTTTGGATGAGAATTTGAGGTGGGGAGGTTTTAGGTTAGTAAGGGGTAGAAACAAGAAAGGAATGGAATCGCCATTGAAGAGGTTTTTGTAGGGTTCATCTTGGTGCAAAAGGATAGGGCTTGCTTGCTGTTTACAAAATAAAAAATAATTGTATCCAAAATGAGTTATTTGGATTAATTATAATTAATTTTGAAAGAAGTGGAATAATTAGTTAGTAGAATTTTAATAATTTTTTAAAATAATATTTAAATTAAAATGATTAAAATTTAAACTATAAATAGATATTTTTGTGAGAAGTGTCGATGACTAAGTCTAAAACTATAAATGGATATTTTTGTGACCTTACACGACATTTTTACACACACAATATAAAGCGAGGTGGTAATATATATATATATTTTTGTCGATGACTAAAGTCTTCCTATATATATATGTATATATATATATATGAATATTTTTTTAAATGTATTACTTTCAACGCAAAATATGTACAAAGTTCGTGAGCTAACTAGCTTAAATACACTTCCAAGAGGAAGAAAGAAAGAAAACACAATCGACAACATGTTCTCTAAATAAGAAGAAAACTAAAGCAAGTTGGAGACTAATATTCTGACGGTGACTAGTGCACAGACAACCAAAACCAAGGTTTCCAACCCTCGACCACATCAAACCCAAGACAGGGAAGAGCTTAACAAGGACTAGCCACCACTGCACCAAAGTGCCTAGCAGCTAGCCCACAAAAAACAAAGAAAATCAAAGCAAAAACAAGCTACCAAAAAGAAAACAAGCCACCAGAGACACAACCAAAAGTCAGTTAAGGAAAAAGAGAGTTTAACTAAAACAACATAATTCAATGCACTCTGAAACAACATCCACAATGGATTTTTCATTTCTCCATTTTTTTAAGAGCCAAGGGTTTCTTGATTTTCCACCCACCAGAGCAGATAGGTTGAGAACTAGATTCCTGCTTCAGAAGTTGCGTTTTGTTGCGGGAGTACAACTTAGTCCACCCTCATTTAAAGCTATGTGTTTCTGAGTTTAGTCCATTCCAATTAAGAGGAGCTAGCTTCCAAACCAATTGAGCCTTAGGGCAGAGGAAGAACAAGTTTTATAAAGTTTCAAGGCCATCACCACAACTTTTACAAGTGCTATCAACATCTACACCGTTTTTGAAGACGTTACAATTCACTTGTAAGATGTTAGCTAGAAATTTCCAAATAAATGTTTGAGTTCCCGTTTGACATGTAGGTTCTGGCTACTTAACCTGACGTGAGAAAAAGTGTGTTCATCTTTGCTGCATTCAGCTAAATCCAGGAGGTTCCACTTTTAGCAACAAGCTAGGCATAGCAAGATGCCGAAGAGAATCTTCTTTGGTCCTACACTAGCAAATAAGTATGTGTAGTTTTGTTAGATCAAGATTTTTAACACTAAGGACGGCCTTGATCTCACTCTCAGAGAAGGTTTGTTGAAGCATATGAAGATCCCAGTTTCTCCCAGTTGACTCTACAAGTTCATTAACCCAAGTAAGATAGAGTGTTCCCTAGTGGTGGAAGAATAAGATAAAACAACTTCTAATGGTGCTATTCTACTTTGAAACTTCTCTTTTCTTGATACAAAACATGTTGGGGATAACTTTTTTCTTAAAGTAGAATGAAAAGTTGTGCTAGAGTAAATATATACGTGGCAAATGTAACTCAAGTTGCTTTTATATAAAAATAGTAAACAATACTGAAATTAAATTACATTGTACTGAATATTTACTCCCATGGATCATCTCTAAGGAGAAGCACGTCATTCTCCCTATCAACAAATATAAGCTACCAGCCTGATCTTTGAGTGCCTTCAAACAACCCTTCTATACCGAACATCTGCCCCACTTCTTGCCTAAGCTCCCGATAGCTAGGCAATGTCCAATGACCTACCAACACATCTTGTTTTATATTCCTACAAAAACATAACATAACAGTCACTGAGATTTTATATTTACTTTTTTCTTAAGAAAAAAAAGGCTAACAGTTAAAAAGTCTAAAACTTTGAGTACCACCTTAACAAATGTATTGTTCCCCATTGGTTGATCAACATATCCCACATTCTGCAGCACATCCGGAGAATCCTGTCGGCAACCATACACTGGGCTCTGATGATAACTGGACGATCTTAATAACTGTTGCATAGGGTACCTATCGTCATTCACAGACGAGGAGGGGCTCATACAGGACATAATGGTGGGCAACACGAGGGCATATATATTTATTAATCTCAGTTTTCAAGATAGTAGTAATATTTGATCGTTGAATTGTCTTACAACTAATTTCCAACACTTTAATTCTCGAAAGATGTTCTTTTAATTGTTTGTGAAACCCTTCGCCAAGACAAATGCGATTAATTGTGAGTAAGACATTGCAATATTCGTGTTTTGTGTTATGTTCGTAGATAGTTATGGACAAAATTAAATTAATAATCTTAATAGAGGGTCATGCGTATGATTAGGTGGTTTTCATATTCGTTCATTTCTTCCCAAACTTATTTGTGGAACCACGTTGTACTGGCAAAGCATCACAAAAGCACAACGTCTATACATCCGGTGCAAGGCTAAGCTAACAAGTCAATTGTATGGGTAAACTCATTGATACTAGTGGTGGGACTTGTGTGGAGAACCTCTGCATGGACCGCAACTCCTTTGGTTGGTTACTTTATTTTTTAGAAAACATATGTGGCCTTGTCCATAGGTGAAAGGTTCTCCCTAGTGAACAAATTGCAATCTTCTTGTATGTTTCGGCCCATTAGAAGAAAAATCCAAAACTGAAGCTTGATTTCATTAGATCTGGCGTACCATAAGAAAATACTTAAATCACATTTTGGACACAGTTTTGCGTTTGTACACCATTTCATCAATCCAACCAACCCTAGTAAACAAGTCTTGCCCCAACGACATATGGAAATGGTTTAACGTATCTCCTCATCACCTTAATTTCTTCGCAAGGACAGACTGCTTTTCTCTCTTGCTTTTCCATAGGCGTTGTCTAATATGTTAGTACTTTTAGGCTATATTTGGTAGACAAATAAACTAGCTTATAGCTTATTTGATTAGCTTATAAGCTTCATGTATTCAAATAAGTCTCGTTTGGTAGAACAAACTTTTCAAAAAGTTCGAGCTTATCTCACAAGCTTGTTTATGTAGCGTTTTAACTAGTTGAAATTTTTATTTCAACTAGCTTATCAGCTAATTTTATCAAATACTTTTATCATATCAGCTAGATTTCCGACGATAAGTCATAAGCTATAAGCTCGAAAATTACATATATACTAAAGCTAGCTTATCAGCTATCAACTGACTTATCAACTAGTTTTACCAATTATAGCCTTAATATGTCAGTATTTAAATCATAATTTTTTTCAGGTAGGGCTCTCTAGGTAATTTATATGATACGCACATTGAAGTCTGTGTGCCTCTTAGAGAAAAAGCGCGGTATATGAATTGTAAATGTCGTGTAACTATGTTCTTGGTGTTTGTGATCCAAACAGGAACTTTATTGTTATCTTGTTTGCTTGGGAGAGTTTTTCTGCCGATAGATGTGTCCTACGCCATGCAGGTACTAGGCCAAATGGACTACGTTTTCCAACTGGTAATGATCTTAACTACAATTGCAATGAGTCCTTCTTTTACAATAAATGTTTACTAGTTAATTTTCTCAATTGAAGTACTTTACACACATATATACACATGAAATTATTATTTGGTGAACGGTGACTATACAAATACTCTCCGATTTCTAGCACCATATAGAGGTGTTAGATACCAGCCCTCAATGAGTATTGAAAGTAGGACTATTGTTAGATAAATTTAATCAATGGTCAGACAGTCTAGTCTTTCAACATAGGGTGAGCATGGGTCAGTACGGTTGGCATATCTTCGGAACCGTACCGAAATTCAGAGATCACTAAAATTTGATCTTCATAACAATACCAAAAAATTAGTTCGGTTTCGTTCGATTCAGTTCAAAGATTTTTATCTTTCTGTTCGGTTTGGTTGGGTATTCGGGACTATCGGAATGGATCGGTTCGGTATGGTACAGTTCAGATATCTGGAGATGTAATTATTTTTTTGAATTACTAGGTAGTTATGGTCTAATTTTTATATGCTTTTAAATAAATCCAACATTCATCAATATTTCATCGTGTTAAAGATTTTATTTTAAAATCAACTATAGAAGTAACTCAAGATTCAGTTAAGACTAAATTTGTTGCAACTAACATTGAAGATATACAATTAAAATAAAATATAACATAATTTATTCTTAAATTAATATTTCTTAAAGCTTTCATACCATTTTAATTATAAGATAGAATAAGGCGAAGAAAAGTATCAATAAATTGAAGTAAAGTTTAAATATTTTTTAAAAAATATTTCTTTAACTCTTTCATACTGTTTTAAATATATAATTTTAAACAGGAAAAATTTAATTGTAAATCAAGTATTACTAAGCATGAAATTTAAGTGAAGCTTAATAGTTTTTTTTTTTGTTTTTTTTTTATTTTATTTTTTCCGAAACGATAGAGGTATTATATATCAAAACGCACAACTGTGCAAAAAAGCAGCCCAAGGTTGAATATTACAACCATGAACTAAAATCTGGGAGGATGGGGATCCGCCTAAAGCCTCGCTAGAATAGAAAACACACTACACACAATTAAAAGACAATAACACACCAACTACGAACGCTCCCCACAGGAGAATAGAAACGCCCTCCACAGGGGAATCAGTACTCGGGCCAACGGCACAAACCTAAAACACAAGACCGAAAATAACACAAGCACAAACTTAAAACGTAAGAAAACAAAAAAAACTCAAATGACACAAAACAAAACAACAGAAACAAAATAAAAAAACCTAGCCCTTCCCCAGCAACAGGAG